CTGTTATATTAACAATAAAGACACAGCTGCAAATATGATTTTATATTTCTGATGTTTTGCTTTTCATTTCTTCACATCAGAGATTATATATTATAGAAAAATTAGTAAGATATATTATTCATAAAATTCTATCTTTTTTGATCATTAATTTTTAGTCAATAAATTTTGTAGATTTTTTAGAAATAGACAATATCTTACAGATGTATTACTATTTTGTATGATTATTTTGAAAGAGAAAAAAGGAGCAATATAATGATTCTCGAAATATGCACGTGTCAAAATACTTGTTAGCTTGTCATTAATATTTTTTAATAACAATTTCTCTTTCATACCACCATATTAAATTTTAAGTATGAAATTTGTACACAGTCCTTTTTTGCCTTATATAAACATATGTATCATATATTGATAAATTATTTGTAATGAATTTTTTTTATATTTATTTCAATTAATGTAATGTTTTATTAAAAATTTTATTAAAAAGAAAATACCATCTAAATAAATACAATCTTTCTATATTTGATACTATCTATATTTATAATAAAAATATTAATAAATATTTTTTAGTACATATTTATTGTATTTTTATTATATAAATATAAATAATATAAAATATAAAAAGATAGTTTAATTAGAGCAAATGAAGGACAGTGCACAATAATCTAAGACATCTTTTGTTTTACAAGCACACTCGGTAACATTCGACATATGCACAACTTGAGTAGAAAAAATATCTAGAACAAATACATTATCTATCTTCCTTATATAAAACTATCATTACATTGTATCAATATTTCATAATTTCCGCCTTTTTATCTCGATAAGACCAAAAATCTTTTGCTCTTAGATAATCCTTTTTCATTCACTTGAATGTGAATAACATAAAATGCTCCTATGATCATTTGAGTAATATTTACTCTCAATATTATTTTACTTCAGTAAAATTGCATAAAGTCAAAATGAATAAGAATAAAAAATTTTTTGACGGTTGGGAAATTCTTGCAACGAAACACTTCGAAGTTCATTGGCATTTCATTGTTTATACGGAATTCCAATATGGACATTCTAATTCCAATTGTACAATTAGAAATCAGATTTTTTTTATGATATTGGTTATTCATTCACTAGACACAAGATGCACAAAATCACATAGTGTAAAACTAGCATCAGGGTCAAAGTGAATTATCACGTTCGGCAGTGCATTCAGAAACTGTAGAACGTATTAATATCTGTTAAAATAGTTTCGTTAGCATAATTAAGTAGACATTCAGCATGAAATAATTTTGTAAAAACATTTACAAAATCAAAATCATATTTTATTGGTTTCTTTTACGAAACACAGTATGAATGCACGTGCGATTCACTTTCTGGCTCAGTCGAATTAAGTTGCACAAGTCATTATATTTCGACCATTATTTGCAAAATAGATTTCATGTGCTTGAAATGTAATACATTAGCTGCAAAATGACTTATGAATAATTATTGTTTAGTGTATAATAATACCATGGTCCATGAAAAAGATACTCCAGTATAAAAACATAAGTGTCAATAAGTGGTGGCATAATAAGTGTCGTAAAGTTCGATTCATTCAGGGCAGAACTCGACACTTTTTTTAAACTAATATAGATACGGACACTTCCTGAATTAAGAAATGTAAATATAGTTATGTAATTAAACAAACAATAATATGGGTATAGTAAATATATAATGATATAAAGAATCACAATTTATCAATGGCTTTCCAATCAAAGGAAAAATGTTTAAGGTACAGTGACGCTGAAAAGTGTCTAATTTCTGCTCTGAAGCTGCTCAACCAAGAATAACGTAAAGTACACGATGTTAATACGTTATAAAGAACGTTAAAATGGTTGTGTTAGGCCTTAGCATCAACTTCCATTGTCACTTCACCTGCAGCTTTCTCGGCCTTCTTTCTCATCCTTTTTGTAGTTCTCGGATGAACTGAGGTATACAAAAGTGTCTATGATCAAAATGGTTAGTTAATAAAAAAATTCATAAAAAAAGAAACAATTAAAAAAAAGATAATATTCGATTTATACCTTCAATTCAGGATCTTTGACAATATATTCTGATTGATAAATATCAAGATCTAAAGGAATTCCGGTAATTTTATGTTGTCGATTGTGCATTAATAGTACTGTAAATTTAAATTGTGCAGCAAATTCATTTGGTTTTTCATATAGTACCTAGAATATGAATTATAATATAATAATGAATTATAATAAAATCTTATGATAAAGCATGAAAATTATATATAATTAATAGAAACTCACTTGGAATGGTTCAATCAACCTATGATTTACGCATTCCACAACTGCCATTTTTGCTTTCTTCTCATCTTCAAAAGTACGTAGATTAAATGGCATAAGACCATGTTTATGAGTGACTTCAGAGTAAAACATACGTGATGCTTTTAATTTCAATTGATATGTTTCCTCTGTTTTTTTAAATATAGTAACTCGAGTGTCTTGTTCTCGACCTACTCCTTCGCCAGTACTAACCAGCACATCCATGGCATATACCTGAATCCATATGGATTTTTTCTTTGTTTTATTTGATTACATATTATTATTATATATAATATTAATTTAATTATACCTCATATGCTTCAAGAGTATATTTTTCATGTTCTTTTTTTTGTGCATCATTTGGATTTTGAATGATAGTTTTTTCTCCATCTATTTTAAATTGTTTCAATTGATGGCTTAACATTCCTTCAATTGGTTTACATTTGTATACATCACAAATCTTTTCTACTGTCTCTGTTATTGTATAAGTCTATAAATAGAAGACAAAATTACATAAAGGTTTTTTCTTAAAAATTAAACATTTTATAAATATAAAATATGTACATAACGTACCTCTGTACCTGGCTGTAAAAGCCTAAGTGCAGCTTGTGATGCAAAATGTGCAGCTAACACTACATCTGCTTTTCTACCAGTAACTTTTTTTGTTGGTGAAGAACCTATAACAATAGTATGTGCTACAACTGCTATAAAGCCATCAACATGTGCTCCAAGATCTCTAAAAATACAAGTTATTATTTAAAAATTAGAATTTTTAAATAAACATTATATTTATATTTATATTACATTATATTTATATTATATTTATATATCATAAACTTACACTTTTACCATATCTTCATCTTTAAGAATAAGATCTGGTTCGCTTGCAATTGGTGAAAAATGACATATGCAATTATTAACAGATATGCATGTAGGAAAAGCAATTCCTTTCTTCAATTCTTTTTCTTTCTTAAAAACTTTACTAGTTTCATCCAATATTAATTTATCTCCAAACTCACAAATTTCTCTTACAGATGCTCCAGCAACACATTTATCTAAAACTTGTTTTAATACCCCTAAAATTATAAAATGATAAAAATTTATTATTAAACTATTAAAATTATTAAATTTTTATAATTTATAATTTATAATTACTAATTAATATTTTAAGCATTATATACAATGGAATATTTTAAATATTATTATAATGAAAATAAGATACACATATATATAATATTAAATGTATTGTATTAAATGTATATAATATTAAAAACAAATTTAATACTTTGCAAAATGTTAAAAGATATCAAAATTTTCTTCATAATAAAATACTACAAAAAATTCAAAAAATCTTTAATATATTTTATTTTTTTTATATATAATTTTCATTTTTATTTTTTACGAATTAAAAAAAATACTAATTTTTATCGTAAATATATTCGTATTTTGTTTCGACAAAAAGTTATAGTTACCAATTTGTTTCGTAAAATATTCATTTTTAATTTTTTTCCACTTTTATTTTTCAAGAAAAATACAAAAAAATTAAGAATCGATGACCTATTTATATGTAAAATTTGAAACAAACCCATTTCAGTTAATTTTATGGACATTTTAAATATAGGTTTTAGTCAACATATAAAAATATAATTAGATATATTATTCAAACAATAATAAAAAATAAAACAAAAATGCTCATATAAAAATATTCAATATAAAGGTTTTCATTGAATAATAAAGTCTATTCTTTTTATGGAAATGGAAACACATTGATATAGAAATACAAGCGAATTATGGTTCCTAATAAGATTGTTACGTTGCAATAATGATATAAAATAAGCATTTTTTGATATTTTATAATAAAAATATAGTAATTTCTTGTAGATCAATCTTTAAGAAAGTATAAAATATTCAATGCATCCATAAAATATTAAAATGTAATAGTCAATGCTATCTATCCCACATGGTAAGAAAGCCCGGCATTAGCGCGCCACATTCCATATGGCTAGGCAGAAAATATGACATTAAGGAGCCTGTGCATGAATCAGGCAATTTCACTTTTGTTTGACAGGCTTCATTAGTGAACATTAAGTCGTTTTCTTACGATTTACGATGTCACCGGCCATTTTATACTTGGTGACAACGATGTCTTCGGCGATGGTCCTTTCTGTCTCCTCTTTATCCGCCATGTCTTCAGCACACTATGTTACGATCACGTGACTTAGAGCCTCTTTGCAGTTGCTTCCTGTAACAACGCTACTCACTCTTAAGTTAACCATGTGTTCCGAAATTTTCTATGAATGATCTCTATTGGTTTCTTTTAATTAAAAATTGCAAAAAATACCATCTTAATTATATATTAATTATATTATACTTTTAATAATAATTATATTTTTAATAACTTTTATTTTTATGATTATGAATATTTTTTTTACATTAATATATAAATTTTAAATAATACAATATTATTTTATATTCATATTTCTGTATAAATTTATAATTAATAATATTAAAAAATTCAAAAAATTTGATTAATATTTTTGGTAAAAGAATATAATAATAAAAATGAATAAATATTTTTAATCATTACTGTAACAATTTTAAATTATTTGTATATTTCATTTATATAGAATATTTACATAAATGCATAAACTTTCTATCTGAATTTGTAATATTTAATGTTGGTTGACTTGCATCTTTCTAAAACATGTTTCATGCCTTATGGATCCTGAGGTTGGTCGTGTGGTCTATTGGAACGCGGATTTGATTTGCATTACTTTAAATTCGAGTCGTAACCATGTCTTCAGGTAAACATTTCTATCAAATAAAATTAAACTATTAATACTTCGATTATTTGAGAATATTTTCGATATGAAAAATTATAATATTATTCTACTTTTATTATTTTTTTACGACATAACCAAACTTTTTACAAAACGCAGCATGCTTTCAATATTGCATTCTTATATATTGAAAATTTTTTTAAAAAATGTTAGCTTTTATCTACGTTTATTTTTATCAGGTAAAAAAGGAAAAAAGAAGAAGTGTAAAACTGTTGATTTAATGTCATTTTTGGCTGATGGGGGTGGAACACCCACTGTGCCAGTAAAACCATTCAGCAGTTGGATTGATGAAATGGAAGAAGAACATGGTATAAAAAATTTACATATTCTTCTGATTTTTTACATATTTATTTTTAAAATTTTATATACATATATATATAATGTATACATATATGTATACATTTATGTATATACATATATGCATATACATATATATTAATTAATTTATTTTATAAATATATATTTATATACTACTTAATTTAAAATTTTTATTGAATATAATTTAAAATAAATATCTAAAATATATCAATTATTATTATTTACAGAAGGGTTTTCATCAAGAAGTAGCAAAGAGCCAGTAGTTTTACCCACTGCTCCAAGAGCTGCAAGAGGTCCTCGTGTTGCAGATGAGGATATTCCTACTAATCCACCTTATGTAGCATATCTTTCAAATCTACCATATGAAGTGGATGAAACATATTTAACAGAATTTTTTGCAAATATGAAGGTTAGTATCTTAACAATTTTTTTTTATTAAATATTAATAAACCATTGACTTTATGCTAGTTTATGCTAACTTGAATTATCACTTTCTTTAGATTTCTAATATACGTTTGCCAAAAGATTCTAATAAATTGAAAGGATATGGATATGTTGAATTTGAAGATCGTCAAAGTTTGATTGATGCTCTTTGTTTATCTAATACAGTAAGTTTAAAAACTTATATTTGTAACATGAAACATTTTACATCAAAATAACCACTTATCAATTATTGTACAATATTGCTTAGCCTATGAAGACAAGAAGAGTACGAATTGATGTTTCAAATAGTGTTAATGATGATCGTCGTGGAGGTCGAATGAGCCGTGATAATCGTAGAGATACTTATGATGATCCTGAACGTACATCTGGAGACTGGAGAAGTGGTCCACGAGATGAAAATTTGACTTCAGAAGGAGATTCATATCGAAGTCGATATGATAATAGAGATAGAAGAGATGAAAGTATGTTTATATTATATTAATTCTTGCATGTATTTATAATTCATTTAGATAGAAAAACTAAAATTAATGTATTTTATCTAGGTTCTGATTATGATAATAAACCTGGTGCATGGCGTGAAAGTAGTGACAGAGGAAGACCAACATTCAAAGATAGAGGTGGCTTTAGAGATGAAGATAGGGATAGAGATTGGCCACGTTATGATAGAGATAGTAGAGATCGAGATGGTGGAGATAGAGGAAGTAGTTTTGGTCCGCGTCGTAATTATGGAGATTCTGATTGGGATCGTGATGGTCAACGTAGACAAGGAAAGCCTCCTACAGAAAATAAACGTAGGTATTACTTATGATTATATTCAATAAAATATATAAAAAATTTCTTTCAATTATTATAGCTGAACCAAGGACTAGGCCGAAATTACAACTTCAGCCTCGTACAAAACCTATTGATCCTATTATTGTAAAAGAAGAACAACAATCTGCAGCTCAAACTGCTGCTATACCTGCTTCATCAACAAATATATTTGGTGCTGCAAAACCTGTAGATACCACTGCCAGAGAAAGAGAAATAGAAGAACGTCTTGCAAAATCGTATGCTGAATCAAAATCCAAAGAAGACGGGTATAAGAAACATAAAAATTGTTTATATTTTTAAATTATTAATTTTAAAATATTTAATAATTATTTTTCTTGTAGAGATTCAGAAAAACGTGGTTCTAGAGAAGGTACTTGGGGTAAACGTAATGGAGTAAGTATGTCAATAATTAAAATTTTATGATATATATCGTATTATTTCATTTATTATATATCATTCTCATTAGGAGGGTCGCGATGAAAGAGAAAGAGGTCGACAAACTTGGCGATCGGAAGACGACAGAAGTCGACGAAATGAAAGATCGGCACCACGAAATCATCCTATTCATTCTGGTAAATATGATTTAATATAATTATAAATAAATAAATCCAAAATAATTTATATCATATTACTTAATATCACTTAAGATTTTTTAAATATTTAGATCAATATGGAGATTCTAAAGGTCAGCCTTCTTCCCGTGGTGGACGACCATCTTCAAGAGGTCCTCCACGATCAAATGATATTCGTGGTGGAGATAGGTAATAATCAAATAGAAATACTATTTAAAAATAAATTCATGTTATCGGATTAAATTGCATTATATTTACAGAGACCGAAGAGAAAAAGACGATATTAGTAGGATGCCAAAGGCAAAGGATGAGCAAGCTCCAGTAAGTAGAAAAATCTTTTTAAATAATTTTAGTAAATAATTGTAAATGTTAATTTTAATAAATAATTATAAATCACTTTTTATTTCAGAATTTTGTAGCTTCCAATAAATATTCTATGCTACCTGATGATGTGGATCCTGACAATATTGATGATTAGTCCTAATCATTATATATCATCCATTAAATTGTGCCACATGCATCATAATTAGTCTATATATGCATATTATTAATTTGTTTTACCTCTACTAAATACTTATCGAATTGATTCACGAATCAAACTCTAAGCTCTTGGTATTATTTTACAGGAATTATTGTTGATTTATATTTAATCTATTTTATTACTCGTAATATAATTATCTATCTACATATGTATTTACTTTATATTTCAATATCAATGTTCAGCATCATTAAATCGATGTGAAAATTCGGATAACTTTAACGAATTATATTGATTTCTTTAATATTTAATTTTGAAGATAATTACATCTGTAAGACTTAGGAATTGGGACTTTATACATCATATTTTATTCACTGTACAGTTATTGTACAATATGTAACTCATTTACATGTAAAATAATAATGCAAATTTAGGAGGAAAACAATTAAATTAAAATAATAAGTGTAATGGGAATTTATTGATGTATTACATTCTATTGCCTGAAATTCAAATGAAATTGTTAATATATTATATAATTATAAAAAAAAATGATGATAACATAAATATCAGAAAATTGATATCATAAGCACAATAAACTATAAGACGACAGTACGAAAATCAATATGCATGTTAATAATCATTGTATCATGATAATAAGGAATCATATGTGATTGATCAATCGAAATTTTGTCACAATTATTTTATTAATAATATGTTTTTAAATATGTTTTATATATTAAAAATTATATATTTACAATCTCTTTGAGGTATATACATAATGACTTTGAGTTTATTGTTGTTGTGTCGTTTGTGCTAATTGACGTAATTGTTTCAATACAGTTTCTAAAAGCTTTTTTTTATCTCGTTCACTTTTCTTTAATACAGAAAATACTGTTTTTTTATCGGATTCTTTTAATCTGTAAGTATAATATTTTTAAGATGTAAATAATGACAATAGTGCATTATTTTACAACATAAAAAAATATGATACATACTTCTCTAACAAAAGTACAGCCATATTTGGAGTTACTAAATGATATTTACTTGATTCATGGCCATAGTCATGAAAATAAGTAGGCCAGTCCCAACTCATAAATAAGTCCAGTAATTGTCTTAACTGTGCAAAATGTTGGAGTAAGATACCTTCGGGTAAACCAGAAACAGGTTCCGAGGCAGCAAATTCTAAAAATTAAAAAATTTTTTTAGAATAGTATATTCGAATCAATTCAATATCGCCACAAAATATTTTGTAATCATATGTTGTACGTTTTATTTAAGAATAAAAAAAAAAATACATACGCTCACATTGTATTGTATCTAAATTGACTTGTTGAAGAGCACCCATAGATATTTGTTTTACGTCTTCACTAACTAATATTCCTAATATAGATTTTGCTATATGAGAACAGGCAGATTCACATGCAACTTGTGCAACTTCATCCTGAAATATATTATTTATTTTAATATCTATAAAAAATAAAATAAAAAATATAAAATTTTGTAAATTAATAATATATGTAATACCGGTAAATTAGTAAAACATGTAAAGGTGCTTTGCAGAAATGCTATGAGATCAGTAATAAAACCAGATGCATGCCCTTGAGGTTCTGCCAAATTCCAATCATAGTTTTCCAATTCTAAAAATTCATCAAGTTTATTTTTTAATTTTTCACATATTTGTTTTTCAGCATCATCTCTTGCAACTCTAAACATAGCTGATTCAACATCCATACAACTCAATTGTCCTTCATGTGATGTTCTGTAAAAATATGTATTTATTCATATTATAAAAAAATATTTTTTAAATAATTTATTTATTACCCTGTAATATTTGACACAAATTCTTCCAAATACTTAGTTGATTTTTCAAGATAACCGGTATTTATTATAATTTGAACTACTTGTAGAAGTGCCAATGATGGTTTTCGAAATAATGATGATAAGCATCCACTAAATGTTCTTGTTAATAATAAATTTGTTGATTTGCAAATCATTTCATCTATTTCTGTTTGAGTAAAATTTAAATCTTCGGAAAATTTCAAGCAAGCATAAATGAATTCTTTTACTTGTTGATAAACTTTTGGTACCATATCCGAAAATGGAAATTTTTTAGGAAATTCTATTTTTTGTAACTCCTCATCATGGTACGGGAATAAATCAAGAACGTTATCATATTCTTCTTGTGTTGTTACCTAAAATATATATATATTTTATATATATATATATAATATTAATGTAAATAATATAACAAAACCTTCTATGGTATTATAAAAATATACATGAATTGGTAAAAAACTGTCTTCATCCAAAATATCTCTAAACACTTGAACCCAATGTTGCATTAGAACTTCATTATAATGTACTCGAATTTCTTGTAATAAATCCCAAAGTTGTCCTACTGAATATCCATAATTCTGTTAAAAAAAAAAAAAAAAAAAAAAGAAATAAATAAGAATTATATATTATATTATAATTTTATAATTAATAATAAATTTACAATATTATAAATTACTTACTCTTAATGTTGTATTGAATAGCATTATAAGATTTTTTATTTTTAGAATAAGTGTTGCATCTGTGCAGTAGGCCTAAAAAAATATCTTTTTAATATGATATATTATAATTTGATAATATTTTAATAAAATTATTAAAAATTATTAAAATATCGTTATTACTTACGGAATGAGTACGTAATGCATTTACGATTTTCGATAGTGCCATTTGCCATAATTCATCTAAATAAGTGCGTGTAGCTAAGCTATTACCGGTATTTAAAATATGATCTTCTACTACGAAAAATCCCACAATGCCATGTAAGTATATTTGATAACCATTTATACTTTCATGCTGGAAACAATATGTATCAAAATAACAAAAATTTAAGATACAGAAAATATTTTTGTGAAAATTAATATTTACCATATTAATAGGTGGTTGTAAAACTAATCTAGCTTGCTGTTTTCTTTGTTGCCTATAATATGCTTTAAATGTTTCTCCTTCACGAAGTACTGTATAAATATGCATACAACGATAAACGGGACTAAAATCCATTAAATCTTGAGCGCTTAATTCTTCCTCTGATTCATTTGAATTTGTTATATGCGATCTTTTCTTTTTTCGACCAATAATTTCTGCTTCAACAGTTAACTGTTCTTGTGTCTAAAAAAAGAAAACATATTGTATATATAAAAATTAAATTTTCAAGACGATCATAAAATCTCTCAAATTTATTTGGTAATGGATTATATATTAGATTTATATACAACTTTATACGAAATTTTGGTTCTGTATTTTAACTGAAAAAAATTTGAATAAACTATTTTTTGCATATTTTTCTTATTTAAAGAAATACAAAATTTTGAAAAAAATCTGATACATTATAAAATCAAACTTATATTAGAAAATTTTTTTAGATTTTTTCATTATAAATCTTTTAGATGCAAAAAGATTAAAAAGCTAACAAATTTTTAAAAATATAAATTTCATATAAATTTTAAAGCAAGTATTTTTATTTTTGTAATAGCAATTTATTAATATAATTCCCATTTTCAAATGTTTTTATATTATTTTGAATACATTATAATAAATTCAAAATTAATTTTTTATGATATTTCATGCAAAGAATTAATTTTTTAAATATTTTTTTTATTATATATTATGAGATTTTAAATATTTCTACATTAAAAAAAAATAAATTAATAATAAAATAATAAATTAATAAATTAAAGAATATAAATTAATTCCATTAATTAAAAATAAATTTTAAAAAAATTTAAATAAATATATAAGTTTTAATAATATATATAAATCAGAATTTTCACATTTTCTTAAATATGAAGAATATAGCAAAACTGGATAATTCAAATTTTTTTACTTTTAACTATATTTCTAAGTTTTAAGATTGAAAATTGAATGTACAATATTTTCTCAGTAATCTATAACTCTCAATAATTATATAATTTATTACTAAATAAATTTAATTTAAGAACATTTATTTTTCTTAATTTCTATTTTCTTTCTTACTTACATGTCTCATAGCGACTTCACCAATTTTTGGTGAATATTTTCTAATATTTTCTAAAAAGTCTCTTAAATCAGACATGGAAGCATCCTTTATATTTTCACGTAGTCTAAAATTATTGTAATCTGTCAATCACTTAATGTCACTTAATATGTCTGTGTAAATTATTCTTTAGTTACATTCTGCTGTAAAAATAAATAGTTTTTTATCTTATGACACTACTCACTGCGGAATTTGTTGAGTAATTTGTGAAGAAAATCTGTAATTTGTTACTTTTGGTAAATCATGATGTTCTAGTTGTTCCAATGTCTTTAAAGCTGGATAAAATCGTTTATCTTTTAATTGTTTTTGTAACTTTGCATAAGCAGCTAAAACAGGAAGACACATAGTGAGACTATCTACTGCTGCAGCCATATTACTTTCTACTTTACGTGCTTTAACAAGCTCTTCTCCTTTTTCTATTACTTTGGTGGCAGTGGCAGTGATACGTTTATCAAGTTCCAATATCTCAGCCTATAAAAAAATATTTTGTTATCATACATTTTTATTTTATGTATAAAATTAATTTTAAGTTATAAACTAACATTAAGCTGTTGTGCTTGAGAACGAACTTGTAATAGTTCTCTAATTGAATCAATGAAACCTTGATAATGATGATTGCACATTCTCTCAATATCTTTATCATGTGCTTTAATGCGCTCATCAAGTTTTTCCATAAATTTTTGATGTTCGTGGCCATCATAAATTGCTCTAAAAAGGAAATAATAATAATAATAAGAATAATAATGATTGATTTTCATTTTTTTCTGAAATTTTTTTTCCAATAAATGTCTAATAATAATAATAATAATACCTGAAAACAAGGCCTATACTATTAGTATCTGTAGATTCTATTTCATATAAAAGATATTCGTGTTTTGGAACCATAGTTGACAATAGATTGTCAACTTGATTAGTTGACAATCTTGACATAATAAAGTCCTAATTAAATTTTTCTTTATTCTTCTACGGGGGTGCTCACCCCCTTTTCAACCCTTCTAGTGCGCATATGCATGATAAATGTCGCATCTGCGTGAAGGGATAATATTCCAAAAGCGCGTCTTTTAATAAAGTTTTCAATAAAAAAAAACTATTTAATTAAACTTACCGAAAAGTTGGACCCAAATAATCATCTATCGCTTCTATCTCTTGAATAAGAATATCGTATCGTTGCATTTTTATTAAACTCAACTTGACGATTCAAATGAAATGTCAAATTTTAGCAAATAAATTTATATATCTTTATATTAATAATATCAGGTAACTTCCATTTGTTGGATAACAATAAATTATATCAATAAACAAAATAAAATTCTTTGATTTAATTATGACATTTTCGTTATGAAAGTTATGGTTATCCCAATAACATTGTCAATATCGTTTAAACTGCCATCTTCATATAACTATAGTATTACTCTTTTATATATCATGCATACGCATTATATGATGCAATTAAACAAATTTAACGATATATAATATTTTGAATTAAAATGTAATATTTTTTATATCAATCATTTATTATAAATTTATTATATTTAATTCTATAATTTCAGTTATATTTGTATTATTAAATTATTATGAAAATTGATTTTTTGAATTGAATTTTTGGTTACTTAACCAATAATTTATTAAATCAATAGTCAATTGTTTAGAATGTTTAAAATGTTTAAAAATATTTTTATTGTTACAAAATATAATATTTATTTTACAAATAAATTTAAAATATCATGAAATTGTTAAAAATTTTAACTAATTATTGTTTTGTAGTATATTTATATTGTTTTCGATATAATTAGCAACATTAAAAAGTATGAGTACGGTTTACTCAGATAAATTGTTCTATACAAATAAAATATAATGAAAGATTTCATCCATTTGAATGTTTAAATAATTTATTTAGAAACAATTATTACATACTTTATCAAGAGAAAAGTTTCAAATGAGAGAAATCTTCTATTCATATTGTATATTCTCCTAAAATAAATTAATTTATCCGAGCAGACTGTACGTGCATTTGGCGTCTGGGTTGGAGACGCCAAGACATTGGATGCAGTTTCTGTGCACTGTGAACCCCGGTTGATTCTTCTCTATTGATTGTATGTAACAGCGTACTGGATATTCTTTTTCTACTCAATTTTTCGAGAAATTTAGTTAAGAATTGAAAGTTATAAGGGAAAGTACAAGTAAGTACATTGATGTGAAGTTAATAACTATCTGTGAAATCATTGGCGCGCAAGCCTTTGATATGTTACTATTCAAGATTTGTTTTATAGCTAATAAAGAATCCATTGTGAAAATTTATTATCTTAATACATCGAATTATATCATTTCATTAACAATTTTAATAATGAAATAAAATTAAAATATATAGTCGTACACTATTTGTACTCCTTTTGTATTACATATATTAACAAATTTCTCTAAGTGTAAAAACAGTTTTGTGTACCTCTGAATTTTTAGGTAAAAATGACACCAGAAGGATATACGCGTGTTTATGTCGGTGGATTAAATGAAAGTATAAAAAAAGAAGATCTTCAAACAGAATTTGAAAAGTATGGCAAGCTAAACAAAGTTTGGGTAGCATTTAACCCGCCAGGTTTTGCATTTATTGAATTTTTAAATATGAATGAAGCAGAACTTGCTTGCAGCAGTATGAATGGTACAGAAATTATGGGTGCAAAGTTAAGGGTTGAGATTTCACGGGGTAGGGGTCGTGGTGGAGGGAGGGGTGGTATGGGAGGATTCAGAGGAAATCGAGGAGGTGCAGCTAGAGGTTATGGTTCTGCTGCCTCTATTGCATTCAATTATAGAGGAAATAATATGTATGCAGATTATGGAGGTTATTATGCAGGCAAGGGTGGTGGAAATAGAAATAGAGACTATTATGGAGAAGATTATATGACTAATCGTGCCAGTGGGTATGTTACTCGAGATGGATATACACAGGATGTCTATAATAGTGGAGATCCAAATGCTGATTATTATACCAACAAAGGCACTGGCACATCAAGGTATCGAAGTCGTTCCCCAGCTGGTCGTGGCAGGTATTAATAATACCCAGTCCTTGTAAAGTTATATTGTACTTACATGAATTCAATTATGAATGAAATTAATTTCTTAAATGAATTGTTCAAAGATGTAACAACAGTAACAATTGATTTATCTATATTTTTAATGAAAACAAATTTAATCATATTTAAACAAACATAAAAAATTTAGGTTTATTATATAAATATATTGTTAGGTAGATGAATATTTCTAATATCTAAATATTAGATTTATGTTCAAATTTAAATCATTGATTTTTAGCACAAAAAATATTTATATATATTAAAAAAAGAAGCATGATAATATTACCAATTGGCACTTTTATTGCATGTGCAAGTATATTGTGCAATATATACTACAAAAATATACTTTCAATTAATGAAAGATATTCGCCAAATAAAGGCGAAAATTATGTGACATTCTATTTTGCACTTCCATGTTCACAGTCATCGTCATCTTCGTGAATGCACATAAAAGATCTACACTGCATTGCCAATCTGAACTGTGGGCCAATCAACAGCCCATCCTGATGACTACATTTCTATCCAATCTACGCAGCGACCTGTATATAGACAAGAACTACCATTGCAGATCAAGTTGTGCAATATCATTTGTATAGTATACTTTAGTTCTACAGTTTGTAATCATTTTCAGAAACATTACCCATTATTCACAAACAAAATCATTGCAAACTTTATATAACATGAAAATGAATCATGAACGAAATTTGAATCAAGCTATATGAATAGTAGACTAAAGTATTTATATATACAATTTCTATTTTATTTAAATCTGGGGTATTACATATATTTTATAGTTTCAAATAATTTTTTTTTACATATTATTATTATTATTATTATTATTATTATTATTATTATTATTATTATTATTATTATTATTATTATTATTATTATTATTAATATTATTAATATTATTATTATTAATATTATTATTATTAATATTATTATTATTATTAATATTAATATTATTAATATTAATATTAATATTAATATTATTAATTTTAATATTATTATTATTAATATTAATATTAATATTATTATTATTATTTTTTTTTTGTGTACTTTTTTAAGTTTCTTATTATAGAACTGAAGAAAATATAGCTAAAAAAAATTTAACATTATATTATAAAAAGATAAAATCATTCATAATTAATTTTTGTTATTATTAACATTTAATATTAATTGTCTATAATTTTTTATTATTTATTATAGACATGTTCATTATTGATTAATGAGTAGTAATAATATTATTTTAAAAAATGGAAAATTGCAAGGAAAATACTAATTTTAGCCAAATGCACACTACTGCTCGTATATATTGAAATTGTGCAATTTTGCCTTACGAATTTTTATACGGCTTGCAAAATCAAAGTTTAAAAAGCTGCAAAATTGATTTATTATAGATAATTCAAACTATGGCCTTGGAATATATGTGCAGAAATAGTATTGCATTTGGAAACTTTGGAGTATTTATATGGATATTCAAGTGAAAGAAGAAAATTGTGGTAATAATGTTTGCCATTGCTGTAAATGATATGAAATTGGATATCAATTAAATGATTTGCTCTCACTACTATCCACCACCCTGCTTGCCTGCTTGCCTACTTTTTTAGAATTTTCAATATTTATCGATTTCTTATTTGGATTGATAAAAAAATTTGAAAATATTTTGCAATAATCACAATGTTTGAATATCATTGGTATATTCAAAGTTTATACATAACTAATAGGTAGTAATTCGTATTCTAATGAATACATGAAAAAAATGTTTAAATGATGATTTTTATACATTTATATACCCTGTCAATAATTTCGGTAATATTTGGGGTATTAACGTAAGTATTACAATATAAATACAAAAATTTAAAAATTTTAAATAAAAGATATGTTAACATTAACAATATAATCAAGTAACAAATATAACTTAAAATGAATTTAATCATATTATTTTTTCATATCAATTGTTAATATTAATGATAATTTGTTATAAAAATTAATAAATGCAAATCATTTATTTCATATATACATTTTTGAATTTAATATTATTTTATATTAACTAATAAATTCGATCTGCGTTCAGTATTTTGAAACAATGCTCTAATTAATTGTTTGACTTGGGATGCTGTAAATTCTTGTGCTAGTGGTCCTTTACCGCTATCCCATCTAACTTCGATTTCTTTGAGTGATGCACCTAATATTTGAATTAATTCTAAAAATTTTTCCCATTTTTTAACATATTGATAAATCTTTTGATGATCCTAAAAGTATAATATTGTTTTTAATATTATCTTCAAAAAATATTATTTAATTTAATTTTACAAGAATTTTTCTGTGACATTACATATGAAATAATGTTTTAAATTAATTTTAATGTAATTTTTTTATATAGATTAAATTAATAAAAGTTTTTATTTAATGAAAGAAATTAATAAAGAACTAATAAAAAAAAAGTTATATCTTTTTAGTGTGAACTTACCGGAAATATTTGTGGTGCACGCTTAACAATTAAATTAAATAATGTTACTAATTCAGTTGCAACATCAGCTGGAATGTCTTCAACAGATAGTACTCTGATTATTAAATCTTCAATCATTGAATTCATAATGCATCCTAAAATATAGAATTATCAATTAATTAAATATTAAAAAATATAAAACAAAAAATATGAACTGACCTACAGCTCTACAATAAATATTCTCAGGTAATACATCTAGCCAAACAGTTTTCAGTAATTCTAATTGCCTATTACATTGTCTCATTGCACGTTCAGTATTAGGATGCAATTCAGAAGTTTGACCCAATGCAGATAAACCTTATTTGAAATAAAACATTTAAATTATTAATTAAAAAATATAAAAAAAAAATATATTAAAATATATAAGTGAATACTAACCAGATTCTTTAAGAATATCAAAAATAATATTTCGTTGGTATTTCATATGTTCTAAAAAACATGATGATCCAACATCTCTTAATACTAATACTTGATCCGCGAAAGTTAAATTAAGGTTTTGCAAGGATTTCGGTAATTTATCTTTATATTCGAATCCTAATGTGAGAAGATGATGTGCAAGATACATACAATTGTTATGAAACATAGCTAAATAAAACATACATATGATTAAAATAAAAAAGAATATTATTTTTGTTTAGATATTTTATCTATTAAATTATTTGTTTCTTACCAACTTGTTGCGGTATCGTTTCTAAAAATTTTCGATGATGTTCTGGTACCAATCCTGCATACATTTCAAAAAAGTTTCTACACGTATAAAATAATTGTATCGCACACGTATCCGAACTACAACAAGCTTCGTCCAAGATATTTCTTGCAAGATCTAGTATTTCTTTTGCATTTTTACTAAAATATAATTCAAGATATAAATTTTTTTTAACTTCATTAAAAAATTTTGAAATAATTTTAATACCTTATTTGGCATTTTGGAAGCTGAAAAGTATTGTCATTAATTTTTTTATTAACTTTTATTTCATTGTAATCATCTGTATCTTCTAAAAATTCAAATGGTTCCTAAAATTTGTATAAAATTAATAAAAATTTGTATCAAATTTGTATATTTTATTCTAATATAAATGAACTTGCCTGTGGTTCATATATAATAGAATCATGTAAATCTTTCTTCATAATATTTCGTGCTTTTGCTAATAAATCTTGACAAATTTTTTTTATAAACAGTTTATCAATATCCTTTGTATATTCTGATAAAAAAAGTTGATCATTTGTAATAAAGCCTAAAATATTGAATATTGATTGTTATAATTATATTTAATTTTAAAAAAATGAAAAAAAAAACTTACAAATTTCCTACCAATTTTAACCAAGAAGTATTGAAAATCATTGATTGCTTGGACAATAGGTGTGAAATTTTTTAAATCGGCGCTTGATGTTGGTGTAATTCGTGAAATACAATCATTCTTTAACGATATTGACAATTGTTCAAGCAAATGAGGTTGTATTCCTTTCAGGAATGTTTCATCATCATAAATTGTAAATTGAAAATGCTGATGAAGAAACTTAAACAATAATTCCAAATTATATAGCACACTTTTATAACCACATGATTTCTTTTTTTTAAATATTTCAACTGTGAAAACTTTTTCATCAATTACATATACAGAACAATCGTCATTAATAATTGGATTAATTATATAATCCATAAGTGTTATTGAAAATTTATGCAAATGATTTGAGAGATTATCAATATGATGCAAACTTTGAATTAAATCTTGTATATCATCGAATTCATTTTTTATACTTAATGAAACAGCTTTTGCATTTTGATCATCAATACCTGTCCAACAAATTCGTTCATGTAATAATGACGATGTATCAGATAAAAAAGATGTATAAAGATTTAAATATTCTTCTTCAATTGCTGTATAAATATCAAGATCACGTAAATCAGTTTGTGAATTGTACAAAATAGTTTGCATATGACATAATGTTTTAGCTACTTTCACATATAGTTTTTCTTCTTGATAATTTTTAATAGATTTAATACATTCATGTAAATTTAAAAGTTGATTAGAAAGTTGTAACATAATATTTGATTCTTTTAATGCTTGAGAAAGAGTTTTTAATTCTTTTGTGGAACCAGATAATTCTATTTTGACCTGGAATAAATAATATAATATGATATAACTTATGATATAATTTTAACAATTTTAACAATTTATATTTTACATTTTTAATATTATATTTTATTAAACATACATGATCATCTATTCTCTTTTGCAATGCATTCATTTCCTCAAATAATTTTTCTCCTTTTAATACCAAATGTTGATCTCTTGTAAGTTTTGATGTAAATTCAACATAATTATCATCCATGAAATCTTTGACATCATATTTTAATTTTGTTATTTCTTTCTGTATTTCTGATATCTTTTCATGTAAATTAATTTTTTCTAATTTTCCTAATAAAAAAAACAAAAAACATTTTAATTTTTTATAAAACACTTTTTATTTTTGAAATATAAATAAAAATCACAAATTATATTTAAGAAATATTTATTTAAGAACATATAGAAATTAATGATAAGATAATATAGAAATTAATATATTTTTTATATACATTTAAACTTTTTCGTAACTAATTTTATATTTTATAGTTTTCATATTAGTAATATTATTAGTATGTAATATTATTAGTAATATTATTAGTATATTAGTAATATTATTAGTAATTAATATAATTACATTTGACTATATCATATATTACATTTTGTATACATACCTGCTGTAACTAATACATCAGTTAAAAATGATGTCATGTTGATAAAATTTTTTTCAAATATTTAGATTATTAGAATTAAAGATTAGCTAATTGTTTCACTATTAACTTAATATTAAATATATCTAATTTGTATAATAATATTTATACAATATTAAATTGCAAAAAAATAAAATAACCTGCACGAATTTATATAACATAAATTAATGCAGCTGATGATAATGCATTACCATAAACTATAGAATATATAGATATAAAATAGATTTATCATCTATCATCTAATGACATATTGATATGTCAGTAAATAATTGTAAATAAAAATAAAAAATATGTATAGAAATATATATTATACAAAAATTATATATTATATATATATTTATTATTATATATATATTATATATATATAAAAATATAAAAATTATTATTATTTGGATATATAATCTAATGGATATATAATTAAATTTTATTATATATATCAGATATATCTAAATTTATTTATATATATAATTATAGCTAATATATAATTATAAGTGTTAATATTTATGCAATATAGACAATAATTTTATGAAAATTTTTTCATAAAATAAAATTTCATAAAAAAATAAAAATAATAAAATAAATAAAACATATTAATAAAATTGTTATAAAAAAAAATATAATATAACAATAAAAACATATAAATTTTACAAAACAAATATAAATAAAATAAATAGTGAGAGAAGAATAAAAATTAAGAAATTAATGCCATTTTTAAAATATTACAGATAAAATAAATATAAAAAAGAAGAGTAAATAGGAGAAGAATAAAAATGAATAAAAATTGACTATTAGAGTTATTTTTGAATGCTAAAGATATTCTTAAAAAGTTGGTAAAATGGGAATTGATTAACAATGCCATTTTTCGAATGTCAAAAGTATTCTAAAAACATTCAAAAGATGGCTCTGATGATCAATTTTTACTCTATTTTGTTTTCTTTTTATATTTATTTCATCTATAGCATTACATATATGGCGCATATTTCTTAATTTTTTACTCTATCTCTGTCCTTTTCTTATTATACTTTCTTGTTTATATTTTGCGAAATTTATACCTTCAAAAAAGTTCCGATATTTGATTAATTTTATTATTATTTTATCTAAGTAAACAATTAATTGTATATAATTAATATCTAATATCTAATTGTAATTAATTAAATAATAAACCTAAATTGAATATAATTCTAAATTATAATCATATTAATTTTTTGCATGATTGATTACGAAAATATCTTATTTCTAATTTGAACAACATTTGTTACCATTAAGTAGCGCCATTATTGTCAACTATTATATTTTTCGAAATCATTTTTTTGAAGAAGTAGTAAGAATTTTATCTTTTTTTTCTTTTTTATCTATTTTTATGTTTTATGTTTTAAAAATATTAATCATTATTAATATATAGTTTATTAATATAAAACGTGTTTAAAATAAACGTGTTTAAATTGCTTTAATTTGAATAAAGTTTTAAAATTATGTTTAATAATTATATTTTTGAAATATTTTATGAAGTTTACGAATTAAAAATTGTTTGAAAAAGCATTATAATCAATATTATAAGAATCATAGAAATATAAATAATTTAATTATTTGAAATGTCTATATATAAATTAGTATTTTAAATATTTAGACTAATAAAATATTTATAAAATAGTTTTTTTTATAAATTTAATTTTTTTATAAATTAAATTTTTTAATATGTCTAATTTTATTTAATTTAAAATAATTTAGAAAATAATATAATTGATATGATGAATTCAAAATTCTCAAAAGTTATAAAGGATTAAAATAAAGACAGGTTCTGAGCTTCAAGAGGAACTCACCTGTTTCACAACCTATGTGACGTATTATACTCAACCATGTCACGTGACAATCTTTACCTTTCAGCATTAGTAGGTGGTAGTAATAATACTATAGTTCCTTATGGTAGGAACAGTGGGCCTGGAGAACGACGCGAGGTAAGACGCGATTATTGAAGAGATTACAAGAATATAACGAATTGAAAACCAGTTAAACCGCGCCCAATATGACGCCAGGTGACTATTGTACTATAAATTGCAATTTATATTTATTTGTTCGTTACTAATATCATAAATTATATAAAATCTTTTGATATTATTGAATGATTGTTACTTTAAGTTTAATTTTAAATAATTATTGCATTGAAATGTAATCTTGGAGGAATCTTGATATAAACTATAATATATGAAAAATAGTGAATAGATTTTTTTATTATATTATTAGGATGCATAAAAATAAACGGCGTCTTTTAGATTGTGATTGGTAAAGACTTTCATGACGGGAGACTAACAACAGCAGTGTAACCGAGTCGCCACAGTCGAGCTGCAATCTCTCGCGCGTAAAGAAACACGAGAGAAAGGTTAACGCTCGAATTTAAAATACAGTATAGCTCTGCATTTGTGTAAAAGTTCCAGTATTGCCGCGTGAAGAATCAATTTTGGTCGTGATTTATAAGATCTAAACTGACTATGTTGAGAAAAAATTATGATTTAAATTAATCAAAAGAAATTTTCAATGAAATGATAATAAAAATATTTTATATAACTAAAAAAATTATTTAAATGTGATTAATAAAAAATATTGATTAATTTTCTGAAATTAAAAATTTATCCAAATATTATTATGTTTCTATATAAACATTAAAAATGTTATATTGATAATAATCAACGATCGTTACAATGATACATTTAGTGAAAATATAGATTTGATTAATAAATCGAATCATCGTTTATCGATGTATTGTAGTGTCACAATAAATAACAAAATTCATAAAAAGAAAATCGTAACAATCAAAATACTTAATATTTTTGATGAACTATTTTATTTTAAATAAATATTACTATCTTTTTAAAAAACAGTGTATGTAGAATTATCAAAATGTTGCAACAAGTGTCACCACAATCTAATGAAATTTTTAAACGAAATAAGAAACAATTAAGTAAAAAATTAAAACCTGTTATTATTCTTAATAAAAATTAGTGATTAATATTGTGCGAAGAATTTTATTTTTTAAAATGACTTTATTTTTTTAAAGTGATGAATCATTCAAGTGATTTTTTAAAATTAATCTAATAATAATTATTATATTAAAAAAGAAAATCTAGTGAAAGTGTCGAAAAAAATGCGTATTTTGTGTTTCTTACTAACTTTTTTGACTGTTCATGGACAGTCAGAAGAAGGATTTGATCAAACGTCAATTTATTACACTGAACCGATTTTCATCAATATCAGTAATTCCAATGATGATGTTACGGAATTACACGGTGGCCACATTGTTCAGGGTCAACGATTATTGGAAAGATCAAAGAGTCCTTATCTGGTGCGAGAAGATTTGTTCGTGGAACATGAGGGCGAACTCGTGATAGAATCAGGGGTAGAAATCCGATTTGGTCCTATGATCGGAATCACGGTTCGTGGTATCATAACTGCAAAGGTAATGCTTTAGAAATAATTAAATTAATTTAATAATTAAATTAAATTAAATTAAATTCATATTATTGTGATATATATATATATATATATATATGACAATAAAGTAAATATTAATATTAATAAATAAACAATAAAAGTTATCGACAGAATAGAATAAATTTATAAATAAAGTTATTTAAAAAAATAAAATATTACTGAAATAAATTACAATTATTTGAATCAATAAATGAATAAATTTAATAAATATATTTAAAAAAATATATTTAAAATATATATATATATATAAATTTAATATATATATATATTTAAAAAAATTTAATCATTTAATTTGAAGTAAAAAATATTACAAAAGAATAAATTGATTAGCAATAAAAATATGAATTATTATTATGAACATTTATATAAATATATGAATATTTGAATATGCTACGTTGAATGAATGTAAGTCATCTATGATTATACACGTGTTATTATGAACATGCCACAAGTGACGAATAGTGATAATTCAAGTTCCAAGAAAATTTTATGACTATATTTCCAATTAGATTTCACCATAATTCACAAAATTTTTATAGTTCTTTACAAACTTATTCATATAATTAATATCTAATAATTTTCTTTATAATTTTTATTCTTAAACAAATATAGCATCTTTCAGAATCGATATTACTATGGTGCTGATAAATGATAAAAAATTACGCTTACCTTCTTGTAATTTTCCAAAAAAATATGATTTATAAAATTTTAATCATTTATTAAGCTACAATATTAATTTCATAAGTTTTATTTATTTAAGTTAAATAAAAAGTTAAATTAAGTTAAGTAATTCTCATAATAATTCCTATAAATTAATATTATATTTAACAATTAAATGTATTATAATTGATATTAAATATATTATTAATAATTGATATTGATAATTGATATTAAATATTTTGAATAATATAATAATATAATAATATATGTAATTTTATATTATAGGACAAAGAATTTATTAATTATTTCTAATAATTATTATAATATTTAAATATTTAAAAGTATCTTAAGAATCTTAGACTAATTTTTTCATTTAAGGATCATATTATTCTTTCGTTATCTAGAATGAATTCTATATAATTAGTTCCTTGTAAAAGTATATTTAAATATCTTTCCAATATTAAGAATTTATCTGAATCTCGAATATTCAAATACTCGAAGATTATTTTATTTCTCGTTACGTGCTATTTAAGTTCCATTTTGTTTCCATTCTTCGCCTATTTCGGTTTCCTTTCGAAAGAATTCACTGAAGAAAGTTTCATAAATAACGGAAAATAATTAATTAATTATCTAATCTCATCATTTTCTCCTATGAAACAGATTCGAAAATAAAATTAAAGTTAAATCAAGGAAATTGTGAAATGATACATTTAAATCTGCTATGAAAGAAAGGGATTTGAGGAATAAAATATCTTTTTTTCAAAGGATGCTGAATGACCGGAAATTCTAGAAACATGCAAGTTGAGCTGATTGTTAGTTTATTCGCATCACGTAGCGACAATGTAGGATTGCACTACCCATTTATTACGTACGTAAGTACACAGGCTGATGCACAGAATAGGCATTAATATTCCAATCGTCGGAAAACAAATACTTATTAAAATAAAGAGAATTGGAATTAATAGAAAGTTCGTTTATAACCTGA